CACTCTAGTCTGGGCAAAAGAGTGAGACTCTGTCTCAAAAAAAAAAAAAAAAAAAAAAAGGACATGGAAGCCAGATTATTAACAAAAAGTCAAAACTGGGACAATTTAAACTTTAAAATAAGCAAGGACAGAAATGAATTATAACCTATTGAATAAAACAAGGTCCATATTGATAATAAATATGAATGAATAAGGAGAAGGGACAGCTCTTTTTTATAATCTAATGCCAGATGATAAAAGTGGAGGGAATGTTGGAGTTAGAAGATCATCATTTAGCAACCATTATGATAAAAATTGGCTTGGGCAAGAATCCTGAATGGATACTAAGTCTAGGTGGGGAAAATACGAAGAGGAGCAGAATTATTTGCATAATTTCAAACTGTCTGCTCATAGATTGCTTATTAGTTGCAAGGGGGAACACAGGAACTATATATCATGGAGAGAACAGACAAAACCTTAACCAATTTTGACCTTGATCAAATTAACTCCACCAATAAGGAGCAGATAGACATTATAGGCCTTGGGATGTGCTTCCCCTTAAAAGAATACAACATGACATGGCTGGGTGCAGTGGCTCACGCCTGTAATCCTAACATTCTGGGAGGCGGAGGCAGGTGGATCGTTTGAGCTCGGGAATTCGAGACCAGCCTGAGCAAGAGCGAGACCCCATCTCTACTGAAAATAGAAAGAAATTAGCTGGACAACTAAAAATATACAGAACAAATTAGCTGGGCATGGTGATGCGTGCCTGTAGTATCAGCTACTTGGGAGGCTGAGGCAGGAGGATCGCTTGAGCCCAGGAGTTTGAGGTTGCTGTGAGCTAGGCTGACACACGGCACTCTACTCAGGGCAGTAGAGTGAGACTCTGTCTCAAAAAAAAAAAAAAAAGAATACAACATGACTTATGTCACATACCAGCCCAGAATGCATGAGGAAACACCAGGAAAAAGCAAATTGATGGACAATTGATAAAATAATTGGCCTGTATTTTTTAAAATGTCATTGTCATTAATAACAAAGAAAGGCTAAGGAACTCTTTTAGATTAAAGAAGATAAAGAGACATGACAACAAAACGCAATACATGATCCTGAACTGGGTACCGGAGGGGCAAAATGCCATAAAGGCATTATTGAGACAATTGGTAATTATGGGATATGGACTTTATAGTGTCAATGTTAAATTTTCTGAATTTGATAATTGTGCCATGATTAAGATAATATTCTTGTTCTTGGGAAATATGCATTACAGTATTAGGAGATAAGGGAGATAATATATGCAACTGACTTTCAAATGGTTCAGAAAAAATAAATGAATATAGTGCATATATAGAAAGAATGATAAAGCAATTTTGTCAAAAGATGAAAAATTGATAAATTTGCATAAAGAGTATATGGGAGGTCTCTATTCTTATAACTTTTCTACAAGTTTAAATTATTTCAAATAAAAAGACTTTTTATTTTTTAGAGATGGGGTCGTTGTCTCCATGCCAGGCTAATTTTTTTTTCTTTTAGAGATGGGGTCCCCCTGTGTTGCCCAAGCTGGTCTCGAATTCCTGGCTTCAACTGATCCTCCTCCCTGGCCTCCCAAAGTGCTGGGATTACAGGCATGAGCCACCACAGCTGGCCCTAAAAAGATTTTCAAAAGGTACGTACATAAATAGAAGAGAAATAGCCAAATGAGAACCTAAACTGTATAAGAACAGTTTAGGTGTCCAAATTCTAACTTTACTGTAGCTTGTACTTTTTCACCTACTTTCCTAAAAAGCCTCTTACCCTCAACCTCAGAGAGCTGCCACGGGTCATAGATGCCCCACCCAGTTTCTTTGCTTCCCAGCCCCTAGCCTACCTCCCTGTGAAGGGCACCGTCTTCCTTCCCCAGCCAAGAGGAGGCTGGCCCCTGAGATACTTGACTCCTTTGCTCTTTTTTTCTTTTTTTTTTCCTCAGTCATAACACAGCTTCTGATTTTTTTATTTTAACATGGTGTTTGTTTTGTTTTGTTTGAGACAGGGTCTCCCTCTGTTACGTGGGCTAGAGTGCAGTGGCGTCATCATAGCTCACTGCAGCCTTAAACTCCTGGGCTCAAGCAATCCTCCTGCCTCAGCCTCCCAAAGTGCTAGGATTATAGGCGTGAGCCACCACAGCTGGCTTTCTTTGCGCTTAAAACCAAAAACATCCTTTCCAACATTGCGAGCTACCTGGGTGCTCCCAATGTCTTTGTTTTCTTGTTTGATGGAAATATGATTTCCTCAAGCTAAAGGTAAGATAGGTGACTAACCCTGCGAATGGCCTGATCCTTCCTGCAAGCAGTAGATCCACAGCATACAGTTAATAAAACAGCCCTAACACCCACACCTGTAAATTAGATACACCTGCCAACAGAAGCGCCAATGGTTAAGAGCCAGAGAAACACAGTCTGAGTTTAGTTTCTGACTCTACTGCTTAAAAGTTGTGTGACTGGCCAGGCACGGTGGCTCACGCCTGTAATCCTAGCACTCTGGGAGGCCAAGGCAGGTGGATTGCTCAAGGTCAGGAGTTTGAGACCAGCCTGAGCAAGAGCAAGACCCCGTCTCTACTAAAAAATAGAAAGAAATGATCTGGACAACTAAAAATATATAGAGAATATAGAAAAAATTAGCCGGGCATGGTGGCGCATGCCTGTAGTCCCAGCTACTCGGGAGGCTGAGGCAGGAGGATCCCTTGAGCCCAGGAGTTTGAGGTTGCTGTGAGCTAGGCTAACGCCACAGCACTCTAGCCCGGCCAACAGAGTGAGACTCTGTCTCAAAAAAAAAAAAAAAGTTGTGTGACTGAGAGCAAGACAACTAGTTCCTGGAGCTCATTCATCATTCACTTAACAATAGTTCCCACCTAGTAAGTAGCAGAAACTATTTTAGGGGGTAGCAATACAAAAATCTCTGCTCTCGGAGCTTACATTCTAGTTGGGTAAGACAGAAAATAGAAAAATAACTAAAATATATAGTATGCCAAGTGCCTGTACATGCTATGGAGAAAAACAGGGCTGATAAGAGGATAGGAAGTAGAGAAATAGGAGGTGAAAACGTAGTTTTAAATAGTCAAAGAAGGCTTCATTGAGGTGACATCTGAACAAATATCTGAAGGAAAAAAAGGGAGCTAACCATGTAGATGGATGAACATTGAGCAAAAGGGGAGAGCAAGGGCAGACACCCTGGAGCGGCCAGGTCTCAGTTGAGGGATGACTGAGATGAAATCTTAAAGTCTTTGAGGGCAGGGGAAGGAATTACACATAGCAGGAGCCGAGCGAGTGTTGATAGGAGAGAGGAAGCCAGGAGAGGGAAAGAGACTTATTGAATCCAGAGATTTTGAGGTTGAATTTTGGGAAAAGAGGAAAAGCAGCATCAGTTTTACAAAGTTGAAAAAACAAAACAAAACCAGGAGATTAACTGATTTTATGTCCTGTTCTTTTGCCCTTGTCTTAAAATATTTCTTAAATGGATATGATTCAAGGAATTGGGAGATTTTTTGTTTTTGCTTTCTGGATTTGAGTTGAAAATAGGGATTTTTTTTTTTCTTTTTTACTGTATTGGAGACATTTTGAAGATATATACAGAATCCTTTAAGATTAGGGTTTAGAGTTCACGGTGATATTCTCAAAACAATTTTTTCATTTGGAAGAAATTAAAATACCATTTATAACAAGAATAACAAGTTTATAGGGGAATTACTAGTGATTTATGAATGGAAAGGCTTTTTTTGGTCTCCAATGGTTGAGAGAATTGAGTCTGCGATTTGGATGTTCTTTTACTATGGTTTGTACAGTCTGTATTGGCCTCTTCAAATAACTTTGGATGATTTCTACATGACCACGTTGCTGTTTTCATAAATGGTATTTTTAGGAATTGGAAATAACAGAAAGTTCTGGTAGACTTGCCACTTGTGCTTAATAGCTTGTGTAGCCAAATGCCTCTTTCCCAAAAAGTGACTGAGAAACACCACCAGCCAGGATTTTAAATGTTAAATGGATGTTTTTATGTAAGACAGTAATAATACCCGGAGACATCACAGTGGTATGGTTGCTGGTTTTTTGTTGCTGCTGTTATTGTTTTTTTTTTAACTTTTCTGTTCTTTAAATTACAAAAGAAAAATCTTTTGTTTGTGTGTGTGAAGACTGTTCCAGAGTGATAAGTGGATTAGGCTCTGGTCATAAGATACAATCAGTGCCCACTTTGTTTCAATGTCACCAAAGTATAATTAATTTTAAAGTGACTCTACTTTTCGTCTTTTCTTTCCCAATAAGATTTTGGGGTCAAAATTATTCCTATATTTAGCTTCTCTTATACCTGCTTTTTTTTTTTAAAGAAATAAAGTTCTCCATTATTTAGTTGAAAGGTAATAAACTTCAAAACATATCAAAATAATATATTCAAAATTTTAACTTTATTATTTTCCTATTATAAAAGGAATGCATATTCATTACATATTAAAAGGGAGGGAGCACAAAAGGTATAAAGGAGTCTATTCAAAAATTGCCTATTAGTCTATCCTAGGGAAAACTATTAACATTTTGGCATATTTCATTTCATCAACCTTTTCCTATGTATTTTTGAACATAGCTCAGATAGTATTATATAAAAAGTCTTATATTCAGCTTTTTTAACATACCATTATATTAAAGTTATTTTTCTCATATCAATAAAAATTCTCTTTATAAACATAATTTCAATGGCAGAATAACATTCTATCATGTGGATATACTATACTTAAACATTCTCAAATATTTAGTTAGGAGAGTAATCGGGTCAAAGCCTATAGACATTGTGAAGGCCACTTTGTTTCCTAGAAAGGTTGTTCTGAGAGCACAGGGAGGGAATAGAGACTCAGTGTCAAGGCTGGCGACGAGGAGCAGAAGCTCACAGGTCCTGGCCAAGCCGCTCCAGCTCGTCTAGGAGGAAGTCCATGTCAGCAAGGGTCAGGGAAGGGTTGGCCACGACCATGCGGAAGAAGTTGCCCTGAGTCCCATGGGGCTGGTAGCCAATCATCATGGAGCCCTCCTTCACCATGCGCTCCTTGAGCACAGGGGCCACCTGTGGGAGGGTAGAGAGGGATTCCAGCTGCAGCCTGGGGTCAGGGGAGGGCTAGGCTGGTTTCCTGGCCTGCCGCTACCAGAGATGCTTTTATCTCCCACCCAGCCACCTTCCAGGGGTAGAGTTCATTGCTCAGACCCTGACCTTGGCCCAGTTTACATTTTTCCACCACATCCAACTTGCCTGACCTTCTCTGTCTTCTGCTTTACTCCCCATTTCTCCCATCTCCAAGAAATCTGTCACATGGGCCATTTTCTGCCAAATCCTGACTTTTCTCTGATTCCCAGCACTGCTTTAGTCTGCCTTCAAGCCTGTCATCCTGAACACCTTCTCCTTCCCTCTTTTAATTCCTGTAACATTTTTGATAATATTAATCTGTGCCCTGTGATCTAGCATGTAATTTACAAAATTCCATTGAACACATTGGTTTCAAATAGGTAACTCTTGTTTCCTAAAATAACAACTCCATATGGGCAAGAACACTCGTGTCCTTTCAGATCATCTGCAGCACCTCGTACCTATCTAACCTTAGGGACCAGGGCGTGACATATCTCCTGCCCTCTGGGAGGCATGTATGGACGGGGTTTACCAGGTTGTTCTGTCCCCAGCATCAGTGCTAAAGCTCTTCCGACATCCTTCTGCCTCACATCTGTCCTGGGCCTGAGCTCCCAGCCCAACTCCCAGCACAGAGGTCTGTGCACTGCACACCGGTGACTTCTCTGACTTCTCCTGTAACGCCCCTCTCTGTCTTCTTCTTACTTCCCAGAAATATACCTTGCTCCCCAAGCCCACCCCCAGAGAAAAGAAGCCACGTTGGTGTGTTTTCCAGGGGGCATCCCGTCATACCACACATGGCCAGCAGGGGGCGGAAGCGCGCCAGCTGCATCCGCGCCCGACCTGGGTTGGGCAGAGCGGACGGGAAAGCCTACCTTAGACAGCCGCTCCTCGTAATCTGGACACCCCCGCTGCCCCCGCAGGCTGGGGGGTACAAACCAGAAACACACGTTGACAAACTCAGGCTGAGGGGAATGAGGAAGGGGAAGGTGTGAGCTGAGGAATGGGGCCGGGTTCCCCCTCCCTGCCAAGCGGAGGGCCGCAAAGGAGCACGGGGTCGTACCTCCATGACCAGCTCGAATCCTTCCCGCTTCTTCATTTCCTCCACCAAGTATCTGCGAACAGACAGTGAGAAATCACAGATGAGGAGGAAAGGCACAGAAAGAGAAGCAGCCCACAGAGAATGAGCCAGAGGAACACAGAGAAAGGCAGCCCTGAGAGTGGGCGGAGAGAGGGATGGAGCCCGGGAGAGGGGCCCTGGAACCCCCCAGGCCTACCGGGCAAGGGCGAAGGTCCGGTCCACGCGCTGCTCCAGCCCTTGCCCGCCCTGCGCCTTCCACATGAGCCACAGCTTCAGACAGTCCACGCGGCGGCCACACTGCACCACCTTGTCTCCCGTGTCCAGAGCCACATCATAGAACTTGTCCTGCTGGAAAAGGTAGCTGGCCTGGGCCCCGTGGCAGCGCTTGAGCAGGTTCTGTGCAGGGTGAGGAGGCTGTCAGACCCTAGCCTCTCCTCCAGGGCGATGCTGGGGGTTCTTCACTCAGGCCCCCAAAACCGGGGGCACTGCTGGGATGGCAGCCAGCTGACTCAGACCCTTCACTACGTTTTCTCCGAACACCCAGGGTTCTTCCCAAACTCTGCCCAGGATCCCACTGACTGCAGCTTCAAGCTGGAAACTTTCCCCTTTGCATAAAGACAGGCCACTGGGGAAGTGAGGGAGCCCAACACAGGTTAGGGTGGTGGCAGATACTCAGCTTCGGATGGGATGGTAAAAAGAACACAGGAGGGTCTGGACCCCCTCTAAAGTGGCACAGAGAAGATGGAGTTCCAGGGAGAGAGGTGGGGCCAGGACAGGGGCAGGGCCAGGGGCAGGGGTGGACCCACCGAGGTGTCCCGGAGAAGCAGCGCAGAACACTGCAGGCCTGCTGCAAGGAGCTTGTGGGGATTCCAGGCCACAGAGTCAGCCCTGAGTGGGGTGAAGCAAAGCCAGGTCAGGGGCTCCTCCTGAAGCTGCCCAACCAGAGACCCTCCTCTAGTAAAAGGGTTTGGTCTCACCCCCACCCCAGTAGTCAGGAAGAATTCCCATGTCTGACCTCCCAGCCCTAACCAAGCATCTCTGCAGTCCCCTTCCCACCAACCTCCTTTCCCCAGTCCCATCCTAAGCTTCCCAGACCATAACTAGTCTCTGGATCAAGGATTTGCAAGGCAAGATTTGGGAAGGGGGCCGTATGCACCTCTGGATTCCATCCAGGAGATGCCTGTGTGTCTGTGACAGCAGGACGCTCCCACCCCAGGCAGCCTGTGGAGCAGGAGGAACAACGTGGGCCTTGGCTTCAGCTCGGCCTGCCCCACCCCACCCCACCCCAGGCCCAAGTCCCACTCACATCCACATGCAGCCATAGCCCATGACGCTGGCACACGTCAGCAATCGCCTCCAGTGGATCAAAGGCCCCCAGCACAGTGGTGCCAGCAGTGGCACTGACCAGGAATGGCACAGCGCCCTATTGCAAGAATGTAGAGGGAAAAAGAGGCTGTAGAGTCATCTCAAAAGCTACCCAGAGCCTGGTGCTGGGCCCAGCTCTAAGCTCTTTGCATGCCTGACCTGGCCCCTTTCAACCTTACAATGTGTCACTGTCCTCTTTAATTTGCAGGCAGAGACACTGAGATTCAGAGATCCAAGCAGAAGTTTCAGAGATCAGACAAACCTAGGTCTGTCTGATTACTTATTTCCAAAGCTCATACTCTCAAAAATTTTTAATGTCTTACTGGAAGATCAAAATGCTATTGAAAAAATTCAAATAGTATGAAAGTTTATGCAGAAATTGAATTAGTAATCAAAATCTACCACAAAGAAAAGCCCAGGCCCAAATGTCTTCACTGATGAATTCCAGCAAACATTTAAAGTAAAATTGATACCAGTTCATGAACTCCTCCAAACAAACAGAATATAAAAAAACCAATTGTATACATTAGCAATGAACAATCTAAAAATGAAATTAAGAAAACAATTTCATTTGCAGTAACATCAAAAAGAATAAAATACTTAGGAATCAATTTAACAAAAGAAGTGCAAAATATATACTCTGAAAGTGACAAAACATTGTGGAAAGAAATTAAAGACCTAAGTAAATGGAAAGACATTTCATGTTCATGGATGAACACAATCCCTATCAAAATCCCAGTTGGCTTCTTTGCAGAAATTGACATGCTGATCCTAAATTCATATGGAAATTCAAGAAACCCAGAATAGCCAAAAGCATCTTGAAGAAAAGTTAGAGGACTTAAACTTCCCAGTTTCAAAACTTACTACAAAGCTACAGTAATCAAGACAATGTAGTCTATAGCTGCAGTCCCCAATCCCTGGGCCATGGACCAATACCAGTCCTTGGCCTCTTAGGAATTGGGCCGCACAGCAGGAGATGAGCAGTGGTGGGTGTGCCAGAGAAACTTCATCTGTATTTACAGCTGTTCCCCATCACTCCCATCACCGCATAAGCTCCATCTCCTGTCAGATCAGTGATGGCATTAGATTCTCATAGGAGTGCAAACCCTACTGTAAATTTCCTATGCAAGAGATCTAGGTTGCGCTCTCCTTATGAGAATCTAAGGCTGATGATCTGAGGTGGACCTGAGGCGGTGATGCTAGTGCTGGGGAACAGCTGCAAATACAGATTATCATTAGCAGAGAAATTTGACTGCACAATAAATATAATGCACTTGAATCATCCCAAAACCATCTCCCCCCACCCCCAGTCCGTAGAAAAATTGTCTTCCGTGAAACCAGTCCCTGTTGCCAAAAAGGTTGGGGACCACTGGTCTACAGGATAGACATGTAGATCAATGGAATAGAACTGAAAATCTAAAAATAAACCCTCACATGTACAGCCAACTGATTTTCAACAAGGATGCCAAGACAATTCACTGGAGAATGTCAACAAATGGTGCTGGAACAACTGGATTTCCTCATGCCAAAGAATGAAATTCTTTCTTACATCATACCCCAGAATTAACTCATAATAGATCACAGGCCTAAATGAAAGAGCTAAAACTATAAAACTTTTAGAAGAAAATATAGGAGTAAATCTTTGTGAGCTTGGGTTAGGTTAGATATGACACCAAAAGCACAAGCAACCAAAAAAAAAAAAATAGATAAATTGGACTTCATCAAAATTAAAACTATTGTACTTCAAAGGACACTATCAAAAAAGTGAAAAGTCAACCTATAGAATGGAAGAAATTTGCAAATCATATATGTGATGAGACATACCTAGAATAAGTAAAGAACTCTTACAACTCAATAATATAAATAATCCAATTTTAAGATGGGCAAAGGATCTGAATAGATATTTCTTCAATGAAGATATACAAATGGCTCATAAACAAATGAAAAGGTACTCAATATTGCTAATCATCAGGGAAGTGCAAATCAAAACTACAATGAGATATCACCTCACACCCTTTAGGATAGCTACTATCAAAATAACAAAAAACAGCAAGCATTGGTGAGAATGTGGAGAAATTAGAACCCTGTGCACTGTTGGTTAGAAGGTAAACTGGTATAGCTACTGTATAAAACAGTATGGCAGTTTCTCAAAAAAAAAATTAAAAACAGAATTCCTATAATTCCAATTCTGGGTATATACCCAAAAGAATTGAAAGCAAGGTCTCAAAGAGATATTTGTACACCCATGTTCATAAAGGTATTATTCACAATAGTTAAAACATGGAAGCAACCCAAGTGTCCATAAATGGATAAATAGATAAGCAAAATGTGGTAAATATATACAGTGGAATATTATTCAGCCTTAAAAAGGGAGGAAATTCTGGCACATGGTATAGTATAGATGAATTTTGAGGATGTTCCATTCTACTAATTGAAATAAGCCAATTGCTAAAAGACAAATACTTTATGATTCCACTTACATGAGATACTTAAAGTAGTCAAAGTCATAGAGACAGAAAGTAGAATGCTGGTTGGGAGGGGCTGGGAGGAGGAAAGAATGGGGAGTTATTGTTCAAAGGGTAGAGTTTCAGTTTTATAAAATGAATGAGTTCTGAGGATGGATTGCGGCAATGGTTGCACAACATTATAAACATATTAATACTTAATCCCTGGGAACTGTACATTTAAAAATTGTTAAGATGGTAAATTTTATGTTATGTGTATTTTACAATTTAAAAATTTGGGCAGGCCAGGCACAGTGGCTCATGCCTGTAATCCCAGCATTTTGGGAAGCTGAGGCTGGATGACCACTTGAGGCCAGGAGTTTAAGACCAGCCTGGCCAAACAGTAAGACCCCCATCTCTACAAAAAAATTTTAAAAATTAGCTGACACACTATAGGTGTGTACCTATAGTCTACTAGGGAGGCTGAGGCGGGAGATTGCTTGAGTCCAGGAGTTTGAGGTTATAGTGAGCTATAATGACGCTACTGCACTCCAGCCTGGGCAACAGAGCGAGACACTATCTCTGAAAAAATAAAAATAAAAATAAAATTTTTAAAAATCTGGGGGAGGAAAAGACAGCTGTGCAAAAAAGGAAGAAAATTCTGACACATGTTACCACACATAAGCCTGAGGACATTATACTAATGTCCATTATACTAAGTAAAATAAGCTGGTCACAAAAAGACAAATCCTGTATGATTCCACTTACATGAGGTATTTAGAGTAGTCAAATTCCTAAAGACAGAAAGTAGAATATTGGTTGCCAGGGGCTGGGAGAGGGGGTAATGAGGAGTTATTTAATGAGTGTAGTTTCAGTTTTGCAAGATGGAGAGTTCTGGAGACTGATTGCACAACAATGTGAACGTGCTTAACACTACTGAACTATGCATGTAAAAATGGTTAAGATGGTACATTTTATGTTACACACACACACAAAAAGAACTGGCAGTAGATTCTCAACAGGGACCCTACTGGCACGTTGGGTGGTACGGTTCTTGTTCATGCAGAGCTATCCCTGCACATTGCAGAATGTTTCACATCCCTGGTTCCCTCTCAATAAAGGCAGTAATGCCCTCTGGTTATTGTCACAAAACAAAGCAAAATAAAATAGCTCTACACACTTCCAAATGACCCCTCGATGACTGGAAGAGTGGGGGTGGAGTGGACAGTAGTACTAGTCCCAAGCAAATACCCCTGGATGAGGAAGGCTACAGGTGGAGTGGAAACCCTCCAGACAAAGGGAGGAAGCTGTCTCACCTCCACATCTTCAATTCCAGAAATATCCATGGCCTCTGCACAAGCTTAGAATGTTCTCATCCACCCATATGCCCACCACCTGGTCTGTTTTCTCTGTTCAAATCTCAGCTCAATCATCACTTCTAAGGGAAGCCTTCCCTGATGCCTTCACCTCTTGAGTAGGTCAATTTTCCTGTATTACCCTCAGCAACCTAGTGTCCCTACCCCTCAGGCTCCCCACAGTCGCTTCAGCTCACGAGGGGATGGGCATGCAGCTCACAGCACACGCGCAGTTGTTTTACATATAGTTATGAATATCAGTCTTCCTTACTGGAACAAAAGCTCTACGAGGGGAAAAAATGGGCAAAAGATCTGAATAGACATTTTTCCAAAGAAAATATACAAATGGCCAATAAACAGATGACAAGATGCTCAGCATCACTAGTCATCAGGGAAATGCAAATCAAATCAAAACCACAATAAGAATGGCCGGGCGCGGTGGCTCACGCCTGTAATCCTAGCACTCTGGGAGGCCGAGGCGGGTAGATTGTTTGAGCTCAGGAGTTCGAAACCAGCCTGAGCAAGAGCGAGACCCCGTCTCTACTAAAAATAGAAAGAAATTAATCAGACAACTAAAAATATATAGAAAAAATTAGCCGGGCATGGTGGCACATGCCGGTAGTCCCAGCTACTCGGGAGGCTGAGGCAGAAGGATCACTTGAGCCCAGGAGTTCGAGGTTGCTGTGAGCTATGATGAAGCCACGGCACTGTACCCTGGGCAACAGAGTGAGACTCTGTCTCAAAAAAAAAGAAAAGAAGCTCATTCCAAAAGACCATGTATAGTATGACTCCAGAGTTCAGAATAGGCAAATTCATAGACACTTAGTAGTTTACTGATTGTCTAGAACTGGGAGGTTTGGGGGAATTTGAGAATGATGGCTAAAGGGTGTGGGGTTTCTTTTTTTGGGGGTGATGGAAATGTTCTAATATTGATTGTAGTGATAGTTACACAACTCTGTAAACATGCTAAAAACTACTAAACTGTATACTTGAAGTGGGTGAATTATACATTATGTAAATTATATCTCGATAAAGCTATTCCTAAAAAAAGTTTATACAATAAAAAGAGAAACTCCATTATTCTAATTGCTGCTCATACTGCTACTCAGAGGTAACATCCATATAACAATAAATATATACTATTCTAATAATAAAAATAGGTTCATAATGTCCAGTCTATACTGCAACTTGCAATATATACTTAGCGTATATAGTGGAGGTATTTTCATGTTAGTATATATATTCTTACTTTATTCTTTTAAATGGCTACATAGTACTCTAATAATAATAATTAATAATAACAAAACCAGCAACTGTGCTAATATTTATATAGTACATCTATGTGCCTGGTACTGTTCTAAGAGCTTCACCTATACTAATTCATTTAATCCTTAACAACAATCCTATGTGGCAAGTTCTATATTATGCCCATTTGACAGAGGAAGAAACAGAGACACACAGATATACCATAACTTATTTTATCTACTGATGAACATTTAAATTCTTAAAAAATTTTACACTTTGTTCCAGGAAATGTTTTCATGCACAGAGTTCTATGCACTTGTGATGATGGTTTATAGTTCAAATTCTTAGCAGTGGAACTCCGAAGCAGTAGATAGAGACATGTAAAAACTGCACAGATGGTGCCCTCCTAGACGGCTGATGTAGTCACATGCCCCTTGAGGCGGGGGGCATGTGAGGCGCGCCCCACATTCCCCAGCTCAGCCCGCGGCCTTTACCACCACCCACTCGTCTTTCTCAGCTTCCCCTGCACAGACCCTCCCAGCCCACAGAAACCTTCCACACAGCGTCCAGGCCCTCAGATCCTCACTGTGGGGCTGCCTGGGGCTCCCTCAGTGGCTCAGTCCTGCCCCTTAGAATCGGGCACAGGCCCTGAGAGCAGCCCAGTGTCCTGGCCTTTCAGGGTCCCCACAGTCGCTTCAGCCCACAGGGGAGACAGGCACAGAGCTCAGGGGAGGGATAAACAGTGCCTTGAGCAGGGCAAACCCAAACAACCCTCCAGAAAGGGACAGAGGAGCCCTGCTCCACCACCCCAGAGCCCCTCACTCACTCACCTCAGCCTCAGCCATAATGATGTGCTGCTCCAGATCCTCAGGGACCATTCTCCCTCTGAAAAAGGAAATCAAGTAAGTAGAGAAGTGATAGGTTCTCTAGGCCAGGAGGCATTGAAAAGCCTGGTGAAAGCAGGGTGAGGTGGGGCTGGCAATGCAGAGGCCACGTGCTGGTTTTTCCCTAAGAGGGGTGAGCGAGCTTGCAGGGCCCAGGGCAGGAGACTCTGGCAGGCCCTGGTAGACGGAGCGGCAATTCTGCAGAACAGTAAGGGCAGAGAAGTCCACCGGGCTACGGGCCTGAGGCCAGTGCTTTCTGGCAGCAGGAAGGTACACTGTACCAAGCTGGGTCAGGGCCATGTCACAGAAGTACTTTCACCTCTCATCAGCCTTGACCACTCGGACACTGTCAGTGCCAAGTCCCAGAAAAGCAGCTCCCTTCTTGATGGAGTAGTGACACTGTGGAGGAAGACAGAGGGCAGGTTAGCACGACTTGGGCTAGTGGTCAGCAGGCAGGAGGATGGGGGGAAAGAGATGGGTCAAAGTCAAGTTTGAGCCACAACAGATGGGATCCTGAAGACCAAGGCTTCTCAATGTCCACATGCACATAGATCACCTGGGTGTGTGGTTAAAAGGCAGGTTTGGATTCGGTCAGTCTGGGGTGGGGCCTGAGACTCTGCATTTCTAATAAGCTCCCAGGCCATACCAATGCTGCTGGTCCACAGACCACACCCTGAGCAGAAAGGGTGCGGACTTAGTCCCCTGCACTCCGTACCCCCGCACCTGCCCCCAAGCAGAAGGCAGAGGGAACGGGAGCGTTTACTTGGAAGGGAGCACATCTGTCCAGGGTCAGGCTGGCCTCAGAGGAGGACGGGACAGGGAGGGGAGCTGAAGGGTCCCTGACTTAGCTGCCTAGAGGTAAGGATCGGGAGCCCACAGTTGGTTCTGTGCCTCTTCTCACCTCCTTCGACGTGAAGAGGGCCAGGGGCGGCAAAGCTCGGAGGCCCCGCTGCTTGCAGTCCGGGAAGTGCTGATAGCGGGCCAGGTTTATAGCATACATGTTGGAGATGGAGCCACCTGTGGTGGGAAGGGCACATGGCAAGAGGAATGGGCACTGGGTCAAGACTGGAGCTCTCCCATGACCTTTCCACCAGAAGAACCCATCAAAGAGGCAGGCGTGATTGGCTCCCGGGGCATGAATTCCCAGGGCCAGCAGATCCACCTGACTACCCCCCTCCACTAGCTGGGCTGCACCCAGGGGACAGCCACTACCTGGAGAGAGCACGGGCCAGGGCACCAATCCAGGGACTGCTGGCAAACATGAGGATGGAGGGGACTGGACAGTCCTTTCTGGTCTGGCCCGGGCCCAGGTGGAGAGGACACAAAGAGGAATCACCCCTCCCTGCCAGCTGCTTAGGGCAAGAGAGTGATGGGGGAGGAGGAACCCTTAAAAAGGTCAAAGAGCGGTCCCCCTCCTTCTCACATACCTGGGCAGAAGACCCCATCCCCAGAACTCCAGCCCACCAGGGCCCGGAGTTTCTTCAGCACCTCTTCTTCCATGAGTACAAACACAGGGGCGATTTCGTATGTGTACCTGGCAGAGAGGGAATGATGAGAAAAGGTGACAGGCAGAGAGGGACAGCCAGGGACAGCCCCTAACCAGCAGAGGAGTCAGAGAAAGGAGGTGGTGCGAATGGGCAAAGGAAGGGGTGGAAGAGAAGGACAAGTTGGTGACAGAGAATCAGGGAAGCAAGAATGAGAAGACACTGGGGTCACGAGGCGTGAGGCTTGGAGGACAGCCCGAAGGATGCGAGAGAAAATGCTCTGCCAACAGAGGTTCCCAGGAAACGGTCCCCCCAGCGACCCCCCCAGCAAACCTAAACCCTCTGGCTGGGTGGGGAGGGGTTGGGACGGCTCACTGGCTGGTGTTGAGGGTCTCAGTGATAATGCGCCCGGCCAGAGCATGGGCATCCAGGCCTGAGAAGAGCTGGTTGAAGAACCGGGGGTGACCTGGAGAAGGGGAGCGGGGCAGGGAGCTCAGGGTGGAGCTGGGTGCAGACTCCGCCGACTCCCCCAGCCAGGACCCAGGGCACACCCGTCTTGACGCTGTAGCGGATCACCGCCCGGCACCGCTCCAGGATCTGCTCCTGCGACTCCCCCTGGCTCCGCAGCTCCAAATCCAGCAGCTGTTTCAGCTCCTCTGGCTCCTTCCACTCGCAGACCTGGGAGGGGAAGGCACTGTGGACTGGCTGTCCAAACCACACCTTGATAGATACGAGGCGTTGCCAACTTGCACTTAAAACAACTTAGGAATATTTTCAAAGCGAAAATATTCACATGAACAAGGGTAAACAAACACAGTGAGACCCAGCACGTAAATCCCTGAGGCACCCAGGGGGACGGTGATGAATTCAAGGGAGAAGCCTTACCAAAGGAGGAAAGTTCTGAGCTGGGTTTGGAAAGAGAAAGGGAAGACTGGTGGGCAGGAGGAGGTGGGAGAAAGGACTCACCTTCTCGGAGGCACAGGTCCCTTTCCGAATGGCCTCGTCCACAACAATCCCAAACACCTCCTGGAGCAAGGCTTCTGCAGCCGCGGGGTTTCCATTAAGGGCGGGGAGTGGTTTTGAGTCAGCCATCAGGATAAAATCTGTGAGCAAAGCAGGAGTCATTCCCGCCTCAGCCCGTGCACCCGACCTGGACCTAACCAGCAAAAGCCTCCACCCAAGTCCTGCAGCTCAGCCCCAGCCATTCAGCGCCAATGCACAGACAAGGGCGAGTGAGAGCATCCAAGCGGAAAGCCAGTGCAAACAGGTGGAAGAGAAAAAGACAGTGCTAAGCAGGGGGACCTTAGTGGCCATTGCCCACCTAAGGCAAACAGGAGAAGCCTACCTTTCTGCGCAGGTAGTTCAGGAGAGCTGGGGGCAAGGTACACAATTAGCTTCTCAGAAGAGCAGGACCAAGGCGGCAGAGGGAGCGAGGCAAAGGCAGCGAATCTCGTGGTCATGACTAACTCTCATGACCCTTGCCCTAAAGACAACACTAACAGATTTGGGATAGGGCCAGCAGGTTGAGATGAGTCCCCTGTATAATCATTAGTTGACAGAAAAGGTGGAGAAATGAGATGAAAGGCAAAAGGCATGTGGCAGTGTTGAGAGAAGCAGAGAGCTGGCATGGAAGCGGGACTCCCACTGTGAACCTCAGGGCCCAGCGTGGGGTGTGGGAGGGGAGACAGGGCAGCTTCCTGGACACTGAGGGGGTGGTGAGATGGTTTAGGCTGATCTCTTTTGTTTGCAAGAAGGAAAGCAGGTTATGTTGAGGAAGCATTTGGTTAAACAAGCACATTCCTGTGCCTTCCAGGCTCGGAGTCCTTGCTTAGCGTGAGCAGCAACTCTGTTGACCACTGAGAAAGCACCCTGCCCCACTGGGAGGACACAGTCCAGGGCATGGCTGGATGCTGGCCCTTGCTGTCATCAGAATTCAGAAAGGAGGTGGGTGGGGGCTGAAGGCTGGGGAAGGCCTGCAGTGGAGCAGGAGCCGAATCCCGAAAGTGGGCGGGAGAAACAGGGAGGAAAAGGAGCATTTGGGGGTGGGGGAGGGAAGCCATGAGCTACAGGGGAATGAGCAGGGCTCCTCCCAAGGTCAGAGAAGGCACAGGCAGGCAGGCTGGGGCACAGGAGCAAAGGGAGATAGGCAGAGCCACGTGAGGTTGTGGAGAGTCTTGAGTACCAGGCCGAGGAATCTAAATTTTATCCTGCACAAAATGGGAAGTCACTGAAACATTGTTTTGTTCAGCAAGGAATAATGTGATGAAAATGATGCTCTCAGAAGACCGGTTCATAGCAGCAGGATGCAGAAGAATTAACAGCCTCAGGCAGGTCCATCAGGAGGTGTTCCAAAAGACATTGTTATCACAGGAGATGACCGCTCCATGTATGTTATTGCAACTGGCTGTTGCAATAAACCAGGCAAGAAGTGACCTGCACTTGAATAAGGGTGATGCTGGTAGGAAAGGACAGATGGAACAAAAGTCAACACTTAGGGGATCTATGTTGGAAGAAGGAAGACTGAAAAATCACCCTGGCATTTTGAACCTGGGTGACTGGGAAAACAATGGTACCCCTAAAAGAAATAGGGATGCAGAAAGGGAAAGCTGGATAGAAAATAAAATGGTTATTTTTCGTAAATACTCATCCAAGTGGAGATCTCCTGGGACTACAGATACGCCCATGGGAGAGGGCCAGGCCCAGAGCTCTGATGAGATGCTTGACGGGAAAGCAGATGTGAGAGGTGGGGAACCGCTGAAGCCTGTGATGGGCTCCATCCCCCAAGGCAGAGAACGCTCAGAGAGATGGATGGGAGGAAGGCGCAAACACCAAGGCCTGGGGACCCCCCAAACGAGGAGGTTGAGAAAATCTGGAAGGGAAGCAACTTTCCTCAAAGGGGGCTGCTCTGATGTAATCCACTGTCCACAGCCACTAGACCTCAGGCTACAGCCACGTGCCACACAACAACATTCTGGTCAACAACGGTGGTCCCATGACATTATGAAGGAGCTGAAAAATTCCTATCGCCTAGTAAAGTCATAGCTGTCATAACTATACTAGCGCAAATAGCTTTACTCACACATTTGTGGTTATGCTGGTGTAAACAAACCTACTGCACTGCCAGTCAGTATAAAAGCATAGCACACACAATTGCGTACAATATATAATACTTGATATGTTACTGGTTTATGTATAAATATTTACTATGCTAGTAAATATAGTTTTATCATTATTTTAGAGTATATTCCTTTTACTTTTTTTTTTTTTAAGTTAACTGTAAAACAGCCTCAGGCAGGTCCTTCGGGAGGTGTTCCAGAAGAAGGTATTGTTATCATAAGAGATGACAGCTCCGTGCATGTTATTGCCCCTGAAGACCTTTCCAGTGGGACAAGATGTGGAGGTGGAAGACAGTGACATTGATGATCCTGACCTTGTGTAGGCCTAGACTAATGTGTGTTTGTGTCTTACTTTTTAACAAAAAAGTTTAAAAGGTAAAAAAAAATTATTTAATAGAAAAAAGCTTACAGAATAAAGGATATAAAGAAATAAAATATTTTTATATAGCTAAGTGTGTGTTTTAACCTAAGTGTTATTACAAAAGAGTAAAAAAGTTTTTAAAAGTTTATAAGTAAAAAAGTTATAGCAAGCTAAGTTCAATTTATTATTGAAGAGAGGAAAAAATTTTAAATAAATTTAGTGTAATCTAAGTGTACGGTGTTTATAAAGTCTACGGTAGTATGCAAAAATGTCCTGGGCCTTCATGTTCACTCACCACTCACTCTCTGACTCACCCAGAGCAACTTCCAGTTCTGCATGTAAGTGCCCTATGAAGGTGTACCATTTTTTATCTTTATGCCGTATTTTTACTGTACCTTTTCTATGTTTAGACATGTTTAGATACACAAATACCTTGTATTACAGTTACCTAAAGTACTCAGTACAGTCATATGCTGTGCAGGTTTGTAGCCCAGGAGCAACAGCCATATCGTATAGGCTAGGTATGTGGTAGGTTATACCATCAAGGTTTGTGTAAGAACACTCTATGAGGTTTGCACAAGAAAATCGCCTAACGATGTGTCTCTCAGAACGTGTCCCCATCTTTAAGAGACACATCACTGTAGTTGAAAACACAGGTCCAAGGATCCCTGGTGGTCCTACCCTTAAATTTTGCTGAGTAGATTGGGGTTGGGAAAAACAGGAGAGCTAACCCAGGCCTCGGTCCTTCATCAGCACTCCTTCCAGCTTCCCTGGTTGTGGCAGCAGTTGAGATCAAGCGGCTTTAGGGAGGACAGAGGTTAACAAAAATAGGTACCATTTAGGTACTTACCATATACTACCCTCTGTACTTAATATGCATTATTCTAATTTGCACAGCCATTTAGGGTAAGTTTATCATCTGCATTTAAACATAAGGAAACTGAGTTTCAGAGACACCTATGTACCACGTCCAAGTCACACAGCCAGCACATGGCTGAGCTGGGTTTAGACACAGTGTGTTGGGCTCTGAAGCCCTTAACCACGGTGCTCTATTGCCTCGTGCACGGCTCTCTCAGGCACAGAGTTCATTGTGGTAGAAAGACTACTGGGCCAGGAGACCTGAGGGGCCCTTAGGGCCCAGTTTCTAGAAAATAAAAGACAGAATCTCTAAGGCATGTGCAGATGTTCATAGAAAGTTTCCAGGCAACAAGGATGTCAAATGCTCTGGTAACTGAGCTCAGGCCATGGGATTTGGCAAAAAGGCTGGGGAAGACCTTTCTTTCAAAGTTGGGGGGTGAGGCACAGGGATAGGTTACAAGAGATTAAAGAGGGAATGGCTGGTGAGGCAAGAGACTCTCACTGGAGAGAGGCCTTCCTCAAAGCTCTGAACTAAAGGGCTGCTAAGGAAACCTTAGCTCACTCCACCGGAACCTTCTTTATCCACTGCCCCTCAGCTACCACTTAGATATGAAATCTGGAGGTGGGTGCTCTGAACGCTGAACACTCCCAGTTTCCTCCTGGGGAAAACAGGGAGGTGAGGCATCACTATCTTCACTCCTGACACAGGATCCTGTCCTAGGAAGAGCCCCTACCTGCAAAGAGTCTTTCTTTTTTTTTTCATTTTAGAAATGGAGTCTTGCTATGTTGCCCAGGCTGAACTCGAACTCCTGGGCTCAAGCCATCCTCCTGCTTCAGCCTCCAGAGTAGCTGGGATTACCGGCATGCACCATCACACACAGCTTTGAAGAGAGCCTTTCTGTCTTTCCTTTTTTTTTTTTTTCCACAGGAAGGTGGAGTGGGTGTGCAGGCTGCCTCCGAGAGCCTTTCTTTTTAAAAGCAAGAAGGACATTAACCTACAAGATAGAAAACTCAGCAAAGAAACAGGAATAATAGAGTTAGGAACAGCACTCTAGCCCCTGGTTGAGAGGATGCTGGTAGGACCAAGTAGGGTTTGTCTTAAAAATTCACGTTTTTTCTGACTTCATGGGATCTATAGTCTATAAATTCCTTAAACCATCAACTCCCTCGTATCTTTTCTTTCTTCACTTATATAAAGGGACTTCAAGAAGTTCGTGAAAAAATGAAATTAAAAGATAAAAATAAAAAATATAAACTTGGCCGGGCGCGGTGGCTCATGCCTGTAATCCTAGCTCTCTGGGAGGCCGAGGCGGGCAGATTGTTTGAGCTCAGGAGTTCGAAACCAGCCTGAGCAAGAGCGAGACCCCGTCTCTACTAAAAATAGAAAGAAATTAATTGGACAACTAAAAATACATAGAAAAAAATTAGCCGGGCATGGTGGCGCATGCCTGTAGTCCCAGCTACTCGGGAGGCTAAGGCAGGAGGATCGCTTGAGCCCAGGAGTTTGAGATTGCTGTGAGCTAGGATGACGCCATGCACTCTAGCCCGGGCAACACAGTGAGACTCTGTCTCAAAAAAAAAAAAAAAAAAAAAAAAAATATATATATATATATATATATATATATATATATATATAAACTTTATTTCTCAACATAGGCTCCATCAATTTCAAGACACTTTTGTAAGTGATGATACCAGCCATTTAGTCCAGCCCTAAAGAACTGACGGTCCTGGGTGGGAATTTAACCATGTCAATTCAGTCTTTTTA